CAAATTCTTCTCAAAGGCACATACAACCCCTCCCCTTCTCTCCCAACAAGGACCAAATACTACCTCCCCCCTCCTCCCCGGCGGGAAAGTACGACCCCCCTACTTGTTTCACGCAACGATGCTGTACCGTGTGTGCCCCACCGCCTGCAGTGGACATTTTCACGAACGGAATGGGGTTCTTTTGATTGGTAGGCTCCTTGAGAGGCAATCACATTAATTTGCACAGAAGTTGACCCGTGTTTAAACAGGAGAAGGCTCCAGTTCCCTCAGAAGAAAGTCACGCATTTCAATTCCATTGGAATCGCGGCTGGACGTATGGCGCATCCCAAAAGTGACTGATCGAAGCCCCAAGCGCTGGCCTCTGATATCCTAGGCATATTGACCCATTCTTCTTTTTCTGAGGGTTTTGACACCCTTAATCCCTCTGCTGCTCAGTCACATCAATCATTGTGGTACTTCACAGCTTCCAATCAACATTGTTTGGCAAATCTGTTCGAATGAACTCGTGACTTGGAAATCCACCTGATCAACTTTTAGCCTTCGCGATCCCATGTTGTTTACGCATAGCGCTAAAAGAAAATTCCCATTGCTGAGCTATTCTGCAAATAGCCTTCAGCTTCCGCTGAAGTGCGGGTTAAATGTCAGCTGTTCGACGGCATATGGCGAAAAACGGGAACTTGACGCCTGAGGGGAAATGAGTTCGATCGTCATCCGTCATTTCAGTGAAGTCAAACTGAGTGAAAAAAGGCGAAATGTGATAGATAGCTACGTATGATAGACAAGTGAAACTCTCGATAAACATCTCCCCCATGACATGCTGAACTTGACAGTCGAAAAGAATAGCTCTCATAGGAATCCTCGAGATTCACGAATTGCGGGGAGCCATAAGAGGAGTGTCCCGATGAAGGAAGATTCGCTCGGGAAAAGGTAGAGGGGGAGGGGACAGAACGGATTACCCAGCACATTGTTTTGCTACCTTTTCCAAGGTATTCTCAAAAAAGTCGCTCCAGGGATTTGGTCAAGTCTGTTGGCATTCAGACGCTTTGGTAGGTCCATGAACATTTCGTAGCCGAGCAGGAACAAGGACTAAAGAGAATTTATTAGAGGTAAATCAAAGCGCACTATTCAACTCAACCAGTATGGTATTTCTTAGCTGTAGAACTTGAGTCGTTGCAACATCATCACATTCAATGGGTCTTGGAGCGAATGTCGCGCGCGTGATACGATTTGCAGCGCTCATCTCGCCGCCTTCCATTGTGCGACTTCCATTGGACAAGAGCCTGTGAAACCCAAGTTGTTTAGCACATCGCTGTGCACCATGCAATCCTCTCCTGAACACGAATCTGCCGGACATTTGGCCCTCAGGTGGCAGCACCCGATGACAACACGCTCTGCGAGCCTGGGGAAGACGTGGGAGATGCAGAAGAAATTTGGTCGAGCCGATTGGTTGGAAGTTACCAGCCGTCAGCGGTCAGTGACCTACGAGCAGAGGCTGCCAAGATGCTCGTTGTTGTCTTCCAAGCTCTTATTTCCCGTCGGCAGTCATGTTTAGGTTGTCGGAGCATTGATGGCGGCAAGCCGCCGCACGCACTTCATCCCTTCGAGTCAAGCAAGTTTTACTTTTCCTGGCTGACGGCTACCCACAAGTTATAGTCGAATGCATACTGACCCATATTTGGTGCAAGTCGAACGGTATCGCATCCTAGGCAGGGATCGGTACAAGGAAAGGATGACCCAGTCAATTCGACGCTCGATACGATGGCTGTGCTTCGAGAAAGATGCACAAGTCCCAAAAAGCAAGGGCTGGTTGTGTCAGATCAGAGCCTTACACGCTCTGGACACCCCTTCAAAGGTTTTACAGAGGCGTAAATGTTGCGATGATGATGATGGTGCTTCAGTGACTACTCTCCATTCAAAAAGATATTTCTGACTAACGATCAAGACTAAAGAGTATTCCGCAGCGAAAAGGGAAAGGGAAAGTGTGACGTGAATGAAACTGGATACACTTATGAGCGGCGTATTTGTTCGACATCCTCTATTCAGTTGCAACAGAACCCTAAACAAATACTTTAGCCCACGTCAAATCAAAGCTCTCATGGTGGAGGGGGTCACTTAATAACACCTCAAGCAACAAGTGTCTTTAAGTTTACATCATTGCTGAAACGAAACTGCTCGAAGGTGATAGACCCTTATGATATGTGTTACCGACCATTTACGGGTGATCTCTGTGATCCTTTACCCAGGGTCACTGAAACGCATAATATGCGCCCGATTCTCAACCGCGCTGAGCCCTGGTTGAACCTCTTGGCGAACCTATCCAATATGTTTAGAGGCAGCTGGCACGATAATCTGGTACTCAGCCTACAGTGCTAGCAGGGCGCTATATATTGGTAAAAAGGCGAAAAAAAACCAGGTGAAACGGTCAAGAACCTGAAAAGAAAAATCGTCATTCTTAATGACTAAAAAGAAATTTCGGACGAGTTCTCCGTCTCATCTTGCCAGTAACCGCTACAGTAGGTACGGCTGCACGTATGTACTCATATATCCATGCAGCACCGCGGCCGCTTCATATCAATCCCTTCGCTTCATATTTTACTTAGCAAATGAAGCAATACGAGCATCAGGTACGGTCGTCCATTTGTGGGCGGGCGGGCGCGGTGGGCGTCCGGGTCGGTATGTTGCAGCTTGATAGGGCCTTATAAGGGTACCTTCCTTGGAAAAGGCGCTACGCAGCGCCTGCTCAGGGTCGCGGAATTCCGTCCTGCCAGGCATATTAATCCTACTCGTCTTAGGGGTTTATCGTGCCAACTGCCTTTAACTGGAAATCACATTGTAAGTGAAGCATCTAAGTTCAGCCTCTAACTTCACCGTGATTCTGCGACTGTCACACAAATACCAGGTACTGCCGGTAATTGAAGCCTGTCAAGATTTCATCAAGCAAACAGATCTCGAGTAAGTCTATTTATATCCAATTCAAGATGTCATATAGCAAGTCAGTAATGAGTAGAATCACTTCTTCCAGTGAACTGAAACCAGACGAAGTGATGACACTGTTGATAAGCGCTTACGATTATCATTGTAAGCGCGAGGTACTGGTGAAGTTGATTCATCGGTTAGCTGTTGAAGGAAATGCTGTCTTTGCACGACTGAAAATCAGTAGATTTCTACCGGCACAGGTAAGAGCACATTAGTTTTCCCAACATCCAAATTCGTAGTACTCGCAATCCTCGACATCAAATTTGGGCCCCAAAGCCAACTAATCACAATCGCGGAATAGCTATTCGTTCTATAATAACCTACTGATTATGGTCGTAGTGGGGAAGCAGGTAAGAGAATCGTAATTTGCCGCTCCGCCGCGCGCGACGACGAGGCGGCGTTTTCCTAATTGTGTTAGCCTGTCGATTGGAGCACCGTTTCACGTGAGCTACGAAACTGTAGACATTTATGACTATTTTCGTTTCTACATTGCCTGTTGTCGCCATCTACGACCTGGAATCATCGTCATTGCGAGGACGACGCGTACGCGACGCCCATCAGCGCGGCGAATTACGATTCTCTTGCCACATACCCGTCGTAGTGGCCATCTAATCTGCTTTACTTCTAGATATATGGAGCAGTGATTTCGGCGTCAATGAATATTACCCAACTACGTGAATATGAAGGGATGAATGGACATTTTTTAAAGATGGAAAGGTTTGTGATCTTCAGCAGCCATCGATGTCTTTATCAGTCCTCGCACTTCCGCATGATTTTCAGATCGAAGACTCGGTGGCGAAATTCGGTTTGTGAACAGTGCAAAGCGATATGCGACCGATGTGCTACATGTGACGAGTGTAAAAAGGTACGTGTCCACGTCAATGTTCGACTACCATAGGCCTAAACAGCTTAGTTTGAAAGGCTCTAAGTGTGTTATGACCCCGCTTTGACGCAGTTTTACACTAAACCATTCAACAG